CACTGATTAGAAAATCTTTCGTGTGGAATTGATAAAAATTAAAGCGTTCAAAAACAATTTGTAATGAATTAACGATCGCATTTTCAGTGAATAAAACAAAATCACCTCTTTCAGTGATGTAAACTCGTTGCAGTAACCATGTTGATCAAGATGACGACGTTAGAGTCATGTGACCATAAGAAAATGTTTTAGTGAAAATGTTATAATTCACCAATCACAAATTGTGATGTTATGAAATATGTTACATGGCTGATCCCACGGCAACCGTCAGAAACAGCACCGGATGAGCGGATGCATGCAATGCACGACGCACTAACGGGGATGCATCATTTGAGTGCAGATCGCCAGCGATACAGCTAATCGCATGGGCAAAATCCTTGCGATTAATATTCAGTGTCAGTAATTCAATTTGATGTTTTTCGATGAATGCATTCTCGTACATCAGTGCAAATTAATTTCATTGAGAGCCGTCTGTGTACGTGAATGTCCACTTCAGCGATTGATGAATTTCATGCTGCCACCTTTTTATCGCATTACACTCCAAACACTTTCATCCGATCGTCTGATGGAGAATTACTGGTGGAAAATCGCTCAAGGACTACGATTTCTTAGCGCAATCGATGTTGGAAAAACATTTGCACGTGTGATGATGAATATTTTAGTGGAGCATGCAGAGATGAATGCATACAAATCATGCTATGCAGCATTTAAGTAGATAAAATTATTGGGAAATCATAATGTATTCCAGATGCTGACCATTCATGCACGCTTTACCTTTCGACTGCAGAAATTTCGATCACGTTAGAAGGTAACACTCAGACTCAATCTCAGATCTAGGATCAAGACTTGTTGTTACTGCTAGTTTCATCTTCATATGCGCTTTGCGTGGTCGTGTGATCAAATAACCAGATAGTGGACCAAAATCTTGTTTGCAAAACGCGCTTGTAATTACTTGTCATTGTGGGTTTTCGCGTTAGTTTACCACTCATAATAAATTTTTAATACATTTCACACACAAAAACTATCGATATGCGCAGTGAGGAAATATCATTCCCTGAAGTCAATAATATTAAAATGTGTAGTCCATGATAAATNAAGTAGTAATTAAGAAGCAAGCGCATGCGACCATTTCGTTATCATGCATTCAAACGCACTTCAGAGGCAGGAATTGTGTACATGAATCTGAATATTGAAGCAATTTGACACAGATATAGCCACTTGATTCGATCAGAACATTTTCGAGTAGATTTCCTCTCGCGGTAGGGGAACAATTCCAAATAAAACCTATGGTTAATCCATAATTTATAAGATGACGATGTCGTGGACGTGCATGAATACATTGTTATAAACATCTCGAGCAAGCATTTGTTGTCGCAACAATTCCACTGCCTGAGAGTATCTGCTGAAAATGAGGCACGTTCATTTGAACGCAAAATGATTTTTGCAGTTGTCTTCGAAAGCGTTCGAATCGTTGAGTTGTTTTGTTTTGTGGACACTCGAAGTATGCATGGGGAGTGATTTTGATGAAGAATTTGCAGTAAGTGACAAACGCGACAGATATCTTTAAAGTAACAACAATGTGATTGAATGTGTCCAATCCGATGAAGACTGAGCAAAAAAAGNTATTGCGGTAATCGAATACAAACATTGATACTTCTGAATGAAGAGTGAGTGGCTTGATGATGACGATAATGACTAATGAATATTTCAAGTATCAATTAAGAATCATTTTAATTGTATATTCGTCAACACATAAAATTCGAAGAGACTAAATTGGCAATACAACTAAAAATTGTATGTTATCGCCGCATATGAAAAAGTCAACAATTTCTGAATAATCCTCTATTTGAAACAATCATTCGGCAATAATCAATTTTTACAACTGATGTTCCTTCTAGAAATTGCTTTCCAGTCAATGACTATGTTGTTGCTCTGAACAAGTGAATCATTGAAGCCATGAGAAAACAAGCATTTCTACTTGAACTGAATAATAGCATATTCTCATACAAACATGACCATATTCACATAAGAGTGCTCGATATGAAATATTGTGTGCAGGTGTGTTCTTTTCGGAGCATTCCGAGAATAAGGACACTCATTCAAGCTAGCAAACAGCACACGGTGACTCCCTGTACTATGAGAACGTGGTTCCGAAACTGACTGACAACTCAAGAAGTGCTCATTTATCTTACGATGGAAATATTTCTAGATGATTGTCCAATTTCCGTTCCGATCAGTGTCAATGTTGAGATAGACGACTAGATTTGATGAGTGCCATGAATTCGCTGGTTTATTTGNGGTTTACAGATTCGAAAATTTTTTTTCAGAAATATTTTTTTATTGAGCATTTGAAAGAATTGAGTAGGAAAACATTTACTGGGAACGTGATTGAAAAGGACAAGAGATGTTTGTAGGGTACTGTGTCAAAGAATAATTTCGTATTCATGAATTCATGAATTATTCGCAGTTTCAACTGCTCAGAGATCACGCATACTCGATGGTTTTTGTTCGAACGGAGCAAATCAATAAATAAGTAATGTTTTCTCGGCTATTAATTTCCATTCCACTTACCTCTAGTTCAATAACCTAGCATCACATAAACAACACGATAACGGATGTAGTTGAACATGCACAATTGACCATTTTATAAATAGGTAGTGATTAGCTGAATGAACTGCTTTGAATGCTCTCCGAAAAAGCATTTGATGAAATACGCAATTACGGGGTGGGGTACTGAACAAACGAATCGAGCAAAAAAGCTTTCAAAAGAAATCGCTTCATTAGGGTGTTGCTCGGAAACGGACAGCACATCACAAGCGCTCCATGCATACCCATTAGGAACAGCCATTGCGATAATAAAATGTGCAAGTACATTTGCATACGTACATGCTGATTGTACAGGTAAATGAATGTAAGTAATACCTACCATATTTTCAAACGTGTACTCTTACGTAGAAATTTGCTTTTCGAATGTTTGACATGAGTGAAAAGCTGCAAACATGACTTTTCTCAGCGTTTATTTGCGATAACTGCTTTCAAGTGCTGCAGATGAATAAGATTGATGCAATCTTATCAATGTTGAACAGTGCTTGTTGAACATTCTCGGAGTGTCAATCCGAAGAACATTTCCCAGACAAACAACGTGGATATATGACGGTTTATAGCCGTGCGAAATTAATTAGAAATAATGCACAAGAAAATCGGGAATGTTGCGAAGGTTTGCAGTAATCGGTAGTACACTATTGTGCTCTACACGTGGTGAGACTGAAAGGTTGCTAAAATATTCATGGATCGTTACGTTTTGTTTTGGCAGTTTTCAATTTCATTGCTTTAAGTGAATAGCGTAGGTTGAGCGAATATTTGGGCGTTTGGCATTTCGCAATAAGCCACGTAAAGTTACTGATAACAAAACCGTAGCCATCGTTATCAAAGCACTCATCCGAATGTTTTGCTCGATTAACACCGCCCATTTGATCTTATCTCCTCCTTCCACTAGTTACATACTAATATCCATTTGTTTCAACTGCGTGCAAGCAATCAATCAAGCTTCCAGGCAAGTGCAGAAGACATGATAAAAACTTTCAGAAAAAAATGCCATGTGGAAACGTCATTCTTAAACTTATCCAATTAGCACCAAACGAGTTCACGTCATCAGCAAGTTATTGGCATGTGAGAAGAAGATCGCTGTGAATTTTAAGAATTTTGCAACGTTCAGTTTGTTATAGATATAGCAGCTTAAGTGTGATTATGTGCTCCATTGGATGCACTTCCTTTGCAGATATGATGTGAAATCTCAAGCTGATCCGCAAATAGAACAACGCCATAAGCAAAAGAAAATTCAATAAGAATTTCAAACAAGATTAGTCGCGCAAAGCAACACAAAGTGTCTGTCATACGCTCACTTTCAGTTAAGCGCTGAATGAATGCGTAATAAATTATCACAATTGGCAGATGGTCACTGAAGAAAGAATTCATTAGTGAATTGATCGGGTGCATAATTATGAACCAAATTGATGAATATCGAACGCATGATGCATATCAATGCAATATGCAGTATTATAGGCACATGCATTATCACAATAACACTGTGCTAATTAAATAAATAATAGGCTTCGTAATTAATTCATGATTAAATAGGCTCCAAATAGATACAATACTGATTCCAAAATAACCAATCGATGCAAATGAACTCAAGTTCA